TATATATATATATACACATATACATATCTATATCTCTATATCCCTCTGGGAAACTCTGATACAGCACAAAGTAATCTCCCCGATGACAACTAACAGGGCAGCCTAATTTCCACCCTCCACAAACCTCATTCCAACCCCACCTTCAGGATCTGTGACCTTATATCTTCTTTCAGACTCTGCTCTTATTTTTTCAAACTTAGAGGTTCAGATCAGAAATGCAATCATTTTGTGGAAAGAACAGAATACAGAGAAGTCAGATGCAAACTGGAATAAATTATGTCCTTTGTGCCCTCACTCTCTCTCTCTCTTCCACAGCATGATCCCTGGGACAGGCTCCCAAGAAAGAGTGGGACTCATTACCTTGAGGAAACATTACCTTGAGGAATCTTATAGACAATTTCTCCAGGCTTCCTGAGTTGGTACAATATGTAATCACTGTGAATGTTGATTCCCAGTCCCAAAATAAATAAGAAGACACCTTGGCAAGGACGAGAGAAAGAAAAAATTAATATGTCCTGATTTTACCCAAAAGCTAATTTTTTTTTCTAAAACCAAAGGGAAGGGCATTATAGTTTTAATTTTAAGAACAGTACTAAGCTTAGGGCAGAAGGAAGACGGGGCAATTATATAGCCATGGTCCCACATTTGGGTGTGGGGCAGTGCTGTTTTTTAGAACAAAAATCTGCAAGTGCATAGTCATGTGATGAAGGCAGATGGGAGAGGAGTGAAGGAGGCAGCATCCTTGTCCAATAATTAAGTAAATAAATACGTGAATAAGTAAAGAACAAGTTTCTGGTTCGTTCCCAAGGCATCAAACTGTGGTTGGCAAACTCAACAGACAATTCCAGCCCCCTTTCTTTTGCATCCCCCACTAGAGAAGTCGGATAGCTGGGAAGTGGTCATACGACCTAGTTCTGCAAAAAGAACAAAAAGGGACGTCTTCTGGAGACTTCCTTGGAAGCCTTTACTTTCATGATAGTGGGAGAATGAGGCCAGTGCTCTACTTCTGTGCTCTTCCTTCAATGGAGACGTGACACCTCGAGCTATAGCAACTCTCTTGCAGGCATGAAGTGGCTCTCATGAGGGCCAGAGGAGCAGGAAGACAGAAAGAGCCTGGGATCTGAATGGCATTTGCAACAACTAAAGGAATGCTGATGCCTTTTGTATGTTCCTGTTACTTAAGAAGTATGACTCCTTCATTATTATATCACTGAGTTAGCTTTCTGTGACTCACTACTGAGAGCATTCCCGACTGATACATTCACTCTCATTCATATGACTGGATCGGATTGGAGGGCCTGACCCCTAGCAAACTGGTTTCCATCACTGCCAGTTCACCTACACTCTCTCCTCTCCAATCTCTGGTCTGAGATGAGAGGAGCCAGGACCATTATTACAGCCCAGAAATACTCAATGTTTGCCTAAGTGCCCAACCTCACTTCTTAACAAAGAGTGCATGTGCTGATCAAAATACATGAGGCAAAATGAAAGAACAGCTGAATTAGAAAAGTCAGGTCTGCTCTCACCTCATTTGCAATAAAACTAATTTTCAGTCTTCTCTAACAGAAGATTATTGACCTGGCTGAGGGGAGTCTGGGGGAGCAGCTGCCAGAGCACTGTCTGGATGTCAGTGTGTCCTTGGCAATCTCTCAACCTCTTTCAATCTCCATTGTCTGCAAAATGTAGATGCTAACAATACCTATCTCACAAAGATGGTATAAGGTTCGCTCATGTATTTATTTATTCATTCAACTAATATTTATTCAGTGTCACTTTGTACTAAGCCCTATCTTAATACCAGAAGTGCCGCAGTGATAACAATAGACAACATGTCTTATTCTCAAGGAACTTACATTTCAGCAGAGGAAAGTAAAACTGAATTAAAAGAACTTTCATGAATTAACATCCCATAATGATCACCGCAATGCAGAAACCCAAAAAAAGATGAGACACATAGTGAACTGGGGTGAGGAGACGGGGCTTCTACTTTAGATGAAGTGGGTGCGGAAAGCTATTCTGAATATCTAGCATTTGTCTGTGATTTGAATAATGAAAAGGCAAACATCTGTAGAAGAGCAGTCTAGTGGGCCAAATAGCAGGTGCAACAGTCCTGAAGCCAGAACAGATTTGCCACATCTAAGAAGCAGAAGGAGGCTGCTGTAGTTAAACCTTTAATGTAGGGGGGAAATGAGGACAGGTTAAGCAAAAAGCACATCCAGCATGCTACCCTAGAGGGATGCAATAGGAAACTCTTGGCAGGGCAAAAACAGAATCTGACTTGTTTACTACTGCAAAAGAAATATCTATGTGGTGGAGAAGATTAAACACTAAGTCAAAGAAACAAATAAAGCACAAGCCCTTACTCCTGCCACCCAGAAGTTACCACCTTTAAGGGCCTTGGTGCATGTGCTTCCCCAGCTCTAGCTCTAGCTGATGGAATACCTGGGCCTTGTCTCCATGTCCTCGGGTGTTGCCAAGTGCCTCTCATAACTGATTTGTGCAAGCCAACATGCAAAGTAGGATCACATCTGACATCCAGTCATTACACCCTTGAAGGCCATTTTAATCCAGCCCACATCCCCAGCTCTTTTTTTTCCCCCAGAACACTGATCTCTCGAAATGGCCAAGCACCTCTTTCTTGATAAGACAGAAGGACTTCCTCATGGTGGTGTTTAATTTTCCATCTAATCTTTGTACTTCTTATCAATTTTTGAGTGTGGTTAACCTATCAGTTTAATATACAATTAGGCAACTAGGCACATTTAGTTATTTGCTCTCAACTCAGGGACTACTTCCATTTAGATTTATTTTTTTAGCTAAGTGAAATGAAGTTTCATGATTCAAAAGACAAAATAGTATTGAAAAAATAGCTCTACCAAGCCATCCCTGGTGGTGCAGCAGGTTAAAGCACAGCACTAAGCTTAAGCCGCTTCCGCATGAGTTCGATTCCCGCCTGCCCCGGAGGTGATCCACATGGCGCAGCAGACCTCTCCTGACCTGCCCGCTGCTCCCCTCAGCAGTGTACTTCGTCCATCTGCCTGTTCTGCTCCCCATTCTGTCCCTGGTGAAGCCTCTCACCCTCCGCATCTCTGGCCTGTACCCCCGTTCTGTATAAATAAATAAAATAAATCTTAAAAAAAAATAGCTCTACCATCATCCTATTCTCTTACCCTCACCCTACAGGAAACCTTTAATTTCTTTTTCATCATTCCAGTATTTCTTTTTCCAATTGTAACCACACACATTTCCTTTCTATCCACTTTTACATAAAGTAGTGCACTAGATACAGTCGCACTGTTCATTTTTCTTCCCCAGGTGTTCTGGGGAGTCTCTCTATGAGCTCACAGAGATCTTTCTCCTTGCTGCTAGTTTGTTTTTGTGGCTCCTGAGCACTCCGCTGTGTACTTGGTCAGCATCTGCGCCACTAATCCTTGGGTGATCCGTGTTTTCAATGGTGCCCTCTGATTGCTGTGGGAAAAGGGGGTGTGGGAGGCTAGGACCAGAGGGAGGAAGTTTGCTGGCAGTCACCATGGCCATGGGGGCAAGAGATTGCTGTGGCTCAGACTAGGCTGCAGCAGTGCAGGAGGGGTGAGTGCAGCTGGTGCGGCTTGAGGAGGGAGGAGCTGCAGTACTGAATGATGGAGAGAATGTAATATACAATAGGAATGAAGGGTCATCCCCAGGTAATGAGCCAAGATGACTGACAAGAACCTCCTGTACCTGTTTTTCTCTCAGATAATGGAAAATTAACCATCAGCATTTCCTAAAACTGTTTTGTGTCTTTGAGGAAGTGCAAACTGATAAAGACCTAAATAAAGTGAGGCAGCAGGCTCCACGAATACACAGGACACAACTCTACAGGCAGAGACGAGTCTGTTCAAAAGCTCTAGGGCAGGATAGACCCAGCTCTTGGCCAACACAGACCCATCGGCACCTGTAGGCAAAACGAAGAACCAAGAAGGGCTGGGTCTCCCAGGGATTGGTAAGGATGCGTATTTTATCTGAGAGTGCTGGAAATCCACTAACTGTGGAGATGGATGTTGACTTTTTTTCAAAGTTTTTTCAGGCTACTATAGAGAGAAAAGATTAGGGGATGAGTGAAAGGAGAAACTAGAATCTTTGGGAAGTCCCTGCATTCGGGTGGAGAGAGATGACGATAATTTGGAGTGTGGGAAGGAATATTACCTGGGGAGTTCAGGATGGGGACAGGGGGTACTTACCCAGGCTAAAGCGTATGTCTGTGTACCACTCCACTGGGTAGTCAGAACAGTAAATCAGAGAGTAGCTTTGCAGGAACCCGTTTCCCGTACAGAAGGCCATGGCCTCAAAAACTATGAAAACTGGATAAGGCCTCCCTCTGGTGAACAGTGAATAGACAAATGTCCTGGGGTATATGAAAAGGAGAAAGGTCAGAGTCCATTGTTTAAAAAACAAGGAGAAAAAAGCTTGCACACAGTTACATGAAAACAACTGTTAAAAGCCTTTTCTTTTTTTACAGTTGTGCAATGAAAGAACATTATTATCTAGTTTCACATTTACGCTGTCATTTCCTTAAAATCCAAAGTGCCATTGTTGAGTATCTTAATTTTTTTTAAAGATTTATTTATTTATGCATACAGAACTGGGTACAAGCTAGAGGTGCAGAGGTGGTGAGAGGCTTCACAAGGGACAGAGTGGGAAGCAGAACAGGCAGATGGACGAAGTACACTGCTGAGAGGAGCAGCAGGCAGGTCAGGAGTGGTCTGCCGCGCCATGTGCATCAGCTTTCTGGCTGAGGATCAAACTCCTACTGCAGTGGCTGCAATAGCTTCGTAGTGCTGTGCCTTAACCCACTGTGCCACCATGGAGGGCCCTGCATATCTTATTTTATTCTCACTCCATCTTGAAAGATAAATACAACTCCCACCCAATAATTAATAAACTCTACCCTACAAACCCAGGGGAGATAAGTTTTACAGAGTCAGAGATGTTGTGTTGTTGGAAAGGAAATAATCGAACAAGAATGCGGAAGCCCAGATTGCCAGAATTACATAGACACCAAGTGGAAAGAAGTTCCACTGTGATTTGCTTCTGGTGACAATTGGTGACAAGCTGGGGATCAAAAAGAATAATAACTAGAAATGCTATAGACACTGAGTAAATGAAACACAAGTCCATCGTGACACTTTTTTAAAAAGCTTTGCAAAGGCAATTAAGTATTCAAGAAATTTTGAAAGTACTCAAAAAATAAGTAAAGGACTACTCTACATTTCATTTACAATCTTCCTATTTGGTTGTTTCTTGAAAATGGTTTATGTGTTACTTCCTAAGTAGATTTTATGTGTATTATATGTGTATTAGGGATTTATTGCTGCACAATAAATAACTCACCCCAATGCTTAGTTGTTAAAAACATGTATTATAACTCATAGTTTCTATATGTTAGGAACACAAGAGTGATTTGGGGTTTTGGCTCAGGGTTCATCATGCATTTGACCAGGCATGCAACCATCTGAAGACCTGACTGAGATTGAAGGATCTTCTTCCAGGAAGGCTCATTGTATGGTTGAAGAGTCGGTGTTGGCTATAGGCAGGAGGTTTCATCTTCTCCAGTGGGCTTCTCCATAGTGGATTCAACCAAGGGAAGCTTGGTATCCTCATTACACAGTGGCAAGCCTTCCCCAGTAGAGTGATGTAAGAGGGAGTGCCAACAGAAGCTAGCTTTTTTATGACCTGCTCTCAAAAGCCATACACTACCACTTCACCACACTGTTATTTCCTAGAAGCAAATCACAAATTCTGTGGGAGAAGGAAATTGGATGGATATCATCTTTCAGAGCTGTTGAAACAAAAAAATTATGGGCAAATTTTTAGACTACCAAGCGTCCTTGGCAACTTAATTCATCTAAATATCCACTTCCCATTGCTAACTGGAGAATAATGATACCAACCTCAGAAGGCCCTTGCAAGAACTTAATGGTACAACTGAATATAAATGAACAGTTTCTCCATTTCCCATCCAAGGAAACACTTCATTATAGTTATAGTGTACCAACCCTGGGATCAACCTAAGAGCAAGGGTGAAGATGGCCTCTGTGCCCTCGTCTTCACACCTGTTCGCATCAGAGCCACTGTGGGACCTTCTCCTCCAGAGTCCCTATTTCTTTTAGGTTCTCAGGATCCTAGACATGCATGACACAGATATGCCAGGTTATATCCCAAAAGGGTTATTTATACTGGAATTTCTCAGTCTTTAAACCTCTTCCTGTTCTTTTATTGAAACTTGCCATTTATTTGTCCCAGTGCCTCAGGATGTCCCACTTCCTCTTATAGGGAAAGCTAAAATCTATGGCCAACAATATTTCATAAATGGAGTTATCACCTATCATTAGTACATTTACAATTGATCTGAGGGAACTAAAAAGAGTATCTTACAACAAATAGCAGATTGAAGATAAATTCTATCCCTTAAAACAAAGTTGAGCATGCTGTGCACTTATGTATCACATGAATAGTTTAATAAAATTGTAATCAGTCAGCACTCACTCTACACTCTCAGCTCCACTGTGAAAATGAGAATTGTGGTTGCTTGTATGGCTATTCTAAGGGACCTCAGAGACAGCCTTTTTCAGGGCCCTTCATGTCTGACCTCATGCTGTCCCTGATGCTGGAGTCCACACAGGTAAGCAGAGTGCCTCTGGAAGCCCCAGGGCACAGTGGCCAGGGTCCACATTGACCTAATCATCCTGTCCATCTGCGTAAAGCTTCAGAACAAAGAACATGCTGTTGAGGAGCTACACAGGGCCAAGTTTAAATTCCCTGGCCACCAGGAAATCCATATTTCCAAGAAGAAGTGCTTCAGCAAGTGAAGTATGGATGAATTTGAAGACATGGTAGCTGAAAAGTGGTTTACCCCTGATGGCTTTGGGATCAAGTACATCCTGAATCTCAGTTCCCTGGACAAATGGCCAGCCCTGCACTCATGAGAGCAAAGGAGCTGCTCCCTTATTAGTCATGTAAATAAAAACCATATTTATATCAAAAAAAGGGAGAGAGAGAGAGTTGTGGTTATGGAGGACAGAGGTCAGTTTATAACCAGAGACACTTGGGGAAAGGAGAAAACTAGGTAGAATTTGTCAAAATGGAGATTCCCTGTGGCATTTGGTATCCTCAGGGAACAGAAAGTAGTGAGAAGGAATCCTAAAATATATGTGGTAAGACAGAAAAATAGTTTTACTGAAGTCTTAATGGGTGCCTTGCATGTGACAACGAAATTCAACTCACAAGGTGACTGCCTCTAAGATGTCTGCCTCTAAGGTGGCAGATAAGTAGTCAGTGATGAAGGATTTCATGTTGCTTCTCCTTGGGATCTGTTTTCACTTTTGACCTGTATCTCTCAAATATATTGCTTTAAACCAAAGAAAACCCTTGCATGATAGGAATTTCAGCCATGATATAGGGTCACACAATGCAGGTGAAAGACCACCCCATTCCTGGGTACCAGTCAGACTGGATTCAGATAGCCCAGTTCTGTAAATGCACTCTGGAGATAGATGATACTGGTAAGAAAGTACTATACTGTGTGTGTATGTGTGTTACTTCTGGGCCAAACTCAGAGATGTAGTAATTTTCCTAAAACCACACAACCACAAGTAAGCAAGAGAGATGGAATTTCTGATTAGAAAAGGAAATTGGAGCATCATCTACAATCAAAGAAAATCCCACATACACTTCCGAAGAACCCAAGCTTGGTTTTCAGGCATTTTAGTTCATGGATATTGCTGAATCTAGGGTAGTCATTTGTTGTATGTGCCACCAAACACTACTGTTATAGTAAATGCCCTGGTTTTCCACGAGGGACCTACTTCCTTCCATCTTAGCCCTCCAGGCTCCTCAGACCAGAGAAAGGCTCTCACACTGGTTTGTTTTTGGAATGGGCATATGGCTCAACAAATCTCAATAGGTTCTGCTAACACTTTTTTTCTAGAACTGCTCTTCTCCCCCTGCCTTGGATCTGAGATGCTATGGTTATCTTGCTGCTACAAAGAACAAGCTTACTGAGAACACAGTCAGTAAAAAAATAGAGCCAACAGCTAGAGAGAGAAGCCAGGTCCTGATGGTATCTTTGGAACTACTACATCAATCTGGATCTCAAGTTGGAATTTCCCAATTATGAGTTAATAAATTCAGGTCTGACCGTAACTCTATTTTAATTTATTTTCTGTCACTTGGACCTGAAAAAGTCCTGATTAATAGGCTATCAAGCTGTTCTTTTCTGAAACAATCATCAAACTTTTCTGAACTTAACACCAGAGTTGGTGAAGGTTCTGAGCTGCACTGAAACACAGTTTCCCCCGAATAATTCTTTTCAGAGTGGAACCTACCAAAAGTCTTTTCCTCACTGGAGTCTCACTGGAACAAAGGACATTATGTCAACGAGTCCTCTGAACCCCTGGCTCATTTCCCTCAGTCCTTCTCAAGAACTAACGAGTTCTGACACTGAGAAGTCACCTGTCTATATACTCAGAAAACCTGTCATTGTAAGAAATGGTTTTGGATATAGGAGAGAGTGGGATGTGCTGGGACTAAACACAGAATGGGTCAGTGCATCCCACCAACCTTACATTTCATTATGACTTTATATGGTGGATTCAGCAGTGACTCCGAAAAAAAGGTATGCCCATATCCTGATCTCCATAACTTGTGAATATTTACTTTATCATAGCAAAAGACTGACTGAGTTCTTACATGGCAAAAGATGTGATTAAATTAAGGATTGAGCCCTCCCTGGTGGTATAATGGGGTTAAAGCACAGCACTATGAAGCTATCGAAGCTACTGTACCACAAGTTCAATCCCCAACAGGGGAGGTGACCCACATGGTGCAGCAGACCTCTCCTATCTAGCCTGCTACTCCCCTCAGCAGTGTATTTCAATCAATCTCTCTGGTCTGCTCTCCACTCTGGTGTATCCTCTCACCTCTTGCACCTCTGGCCTGTACCCTAATTCTTGTATGCATAAATAAATAAATCTTTTTTTAAATAATTATTTAATTAATTGATTAAGGATTTTGTGAAGAGAGGATTATCCTAGATAATCTGAGTAGGTCCTAAATGCGATCTTGTGTATCCTTCGATGGGAAGGAAGAAGAAAGACACACAGTGAAAAAGGCAATGTAAAGACGATGCACAGAGATGTGGCCACAAGCCAAAGAATGCCAACAGCCACCAGGAGCTGGAAGAGACAAAGAGTGGATGTGCCTGTAGAGCAGAAGGACCACAACAGCCCTATCAACACCTTGATATCAGACCACAGGCTTCCAGAATGGTGAGAGAAAATGTTAGACCACCCAGTTTGTACCATTGTGTTACAGTAGCTACTGGAAGCTAATACACCTATACTTATA